CCGGGCTCGCACCGACGCGCTGCTTCTCCAGCCATGCTGAGGCCGCGTCCCACATACAGCAACTAGAAGGATGTGCAGCTATGACACACAGCTATCTACTGGGGCTTTGGGGGGAAAAAATAAATAAATAAAATCTTTGAATAAGCTTTCTGGTGATGCCAACGAGTAGCGAGGTCTAAGACTGATGGTTTTCAAGTACTTTTTTTTAAAGGATTGCAACTCTTTCTTTAACAACATCTTAGGGAAGGCCAGTATAAAATACACCATTCCTATCTTCCTAGGGGCCTCCAAGACTCTTCTACTACCCTCTATGGTTCAGGGAACACTGATTAAAAAACACCATAATACTGGGAACAGTTTCCAAGAATGCAAACCTAGGTCTGCATACATTTCACTGAAGACCAGGGCTTATGGTCATTAGTACTCCAGAAGTTTTTTAAAATAATTCTTTATAATTTAGAAGTTTCCTCACAGTTTGTTTTTAATAAGCCATGTCTGTTTCCCTGTTGTCACTGGAAACAGAAACCCTTTAAAAATTAATAGAGATTGTGCTTATTTCTGACCCACAGGTGGAGCAAGAATTGGAAAGCATGTGTCCTGCTGTGCTCAGAGAAGCAATGGGCTGGAAGAGGAAATAGAGAACAGGCGGTGGAGACAGATACTAGACCCAATCCCTGCCAGGGGAAAGAAATTTAGATGGGGAGCTGGCCCAGACTGGGAGGCTGTCCAGTGGTAGGAAGGCTTCATTTTCACTGATACCCTCTGAAGTCAGCCATGTCTGACTGGGTGTGCATGTGTGTGTGTGTGTGTGTGCGTGCATGTCCTGTCTGTAGTTTGAGGTTGATAATATTCCCTGGGGGTTTTCCCAAGGCCCCAAACCAAGCAAGGCCCCTAGAAGAGTGTTGCAAGGAATCCTCCTGAGGTAGCACACGCTGCCTACTGGGTTGGCACACACAGCTCTGTGTGGTCATCTCCACAGCCTGGTCCAAGAGTAGCCTCCAGAATGGGGCGCTCAGAATAGCCTAGACAGGATCAGCCCTGAGCACACCTGATGAGGCAGTGGGGGTTACCTCTACTCTGATTCCCCTTTCAGCACCCCTTTTCCTCCACTGGCATATCCACCCATGCAAACCGGAAGCAGACATCTTAGCTCTCTGCAGGCTGTCAACAGATCCCCTCTAACACCTGGCTACTAAAAAAGTGTGGTCAGACCAGCAGCATCAATGTCACCAGCATCACCAAGACCTTGTTACAAGTGTCAGACCCTCCCCAACCTACCAAATCAGAATCTGGTTTAACAAGGCCCCAGAGGATTTGTATACAGGATAAAGTTTGAGAAGGACTGCTCTAAAGCAGCAGTCTTCAGCCTTGACTACACTTTAGAATCACCTAAGGGGCTTTTAAAAGTCCTGATGCCCAGGCCGGCCCTGGGGCGCAAGCGGTTAAGTGCGCGCGCTCCGCTGCGGTGGCCCGGGGTTCGCCGGTTTGGATCCCCGGCGCACACAGACACACTGCTTGTCAAGCCATGCTGTGGCTGTGTCCCATATAAAGTGGAGGAAGATGGGCATGGATGTTAGCCCAGGGCCAGTCTTCCTCAGCAAAAAAAAAGAAAAGAAAAGAAAAAAGAGGAGGATTGGCAGATGTTAGCACAGGGCTGATCTCACACACACACAAAAAAATCCTGATGCCCAGACTTACCCCAGATGAATTAAATCAGACTTTCTGGTGATAGAGCCCAGGCATCAATTACCCTTAAGCTCTCAAGGAGACTTAGTGTACAGGAATGCTGGGACCACTCTTCTGAAGAGAGTGATGAAGCGGCTGCCTCTCTGAAACATATTTACATTTTCCTGTGGGACTCTGGAAGACTGAAAAGACTTCAGAATCCAAAGGAATCTCAGCTGATGGAACCTGAGGGGAGGCATTCTAAGAGGGGAGAAAAACTTATGGGAAGAGGGGAGCAAGAACTCCTCACATCACAGTAAGAAAGCATTTGCCTTTCTGACTAATCGAAAAGTCAGCTTTGATCCTGAGTTCATTAAGTTACCCTAGAGAACAAAAACAAAAATTCCCTTCTATCTCATCCGTGAGAAAAATGACTTACCCATTCCAAGTGTACTTCCAGAGCAGGTTACTGTAATAAATAAAAACACAAGCATTTAAAATATGTTTATTGATATAGTTAAGATGGTGAAAATATAACTTAACAAATAGACAACTAATTTACAACAAAGGAGCCAAGAACATACAACGGAGAATGGAAAGTCTCTTCAATAAATGGTGTTGGGAAAGCTGGATAGCCACATGCAAAAGAATGAAACTAGACCACTATCTGACACCATACACAAAAATTAACTCAATGGATTAAAGACTTAAATATAAAACCTGAAGCCATAAAACTCCTAAAAGAACACATAGTCAGTGTGCCCTTTGACATTGGTCTTAGCAATATCTTCTTGGCTATGTCTCCTCAGGCAAGGGAAACAAAAGCAAAAATAAACAAATGGGACTACATCAAACTGAAAAGCTTCTGCACAGCAAAGGAAACCATCAACAAAATAAAAAGAAAACCTACCGCATGCAAGAAGATATTTGCAAATCATATATCCAATAAGGGGTTAAAATAAAAAATACATAAAGAACTTACAAAACTCAACAATAAAAAAAACAAACAACCTGATTAAAAAGTGGGCAGAGGATTTGAATAGACATTTTTTCAAAAAACACATACAGATGGCCAACAGGCACATGAAAAGATGTTCAACATCACTAATTATTAGGGAAATGCAAATCAAAACCACAATGAGATATCACCTCATGCCTTTAGAATGGCTATTATCAAAAAGACAGGAAATAAAAAGTCTTGGCGAGGATATGGAGGAAAGGGAACATTTGTGCACTGTTGGTGAGAATGTAAATTGGTGCAGCCATTATGGAAAACAGTATGGAGATTCCTCAAAAAATTAAGAATAGAACTACCATATGATCCAGCTATTCCCTCTCTGGGTATATATCCAAAGAATATGAAAACACTAATTCGAAAAGGTATATGTACCCCTATGTTCACTGCAGCATTATTTACAATAGCCAAGACTTGGAAACAATCTAAGTGCCCACTGATGGATGAATGGATACAAAAGATGCAGTGTGTGTGTGTGTGTGTGTGTATGTATACATACATGTATACATATATGTATACATGAAGTAATATTCCTCAGCCATAGAAAAGAGGAAATATTGCCATTTGCAACAACATGGATGGACTTTGAGGGTATTATGCTAAGTGAAATAAGTCAGATGGAGAAAGACAAATGCCATATGATTTCACTCATGTGGAATATCAAAAAAAAAGCAAATGAACAAATGAAACAAAACAAAAACAAACTCGTAGAAGCAGACAACAGATTGGTGGTTATCGGAGGGGAAAGGGGGTAGGGGTAGGGTGAAATGTGTAAGGGGGGTCAATTGTGTGGTGAAAGATGGAAACTAGACTTTTGGTGGTTAGCACGCTGAAGAGTATATGAAATCAAGTGATAATGTTGCATACCTGAAACTTACATAATAATATAAACCAATGTTATCTCAATAAAAAAGAAAGAAAGAAAGAAAGAATAACAACCAAGTGAACTGAAGGATGAATAAGAACCAGCTTGGGTGGTAAGAGAAGGAGATACCTACTAGCAGTATGACCTTGGGCAAGTCACTTTTCTGTGCTTCCATTTATCTGTAACGTGGTAAGAATAAGAATGCCAACCTCATGTGGTTGTTATAAGGATCAATTGAGCAAATACATGTAAAGCCCTTAGAATAGTGCCTGGCACATAGCACTCAATAAATATCAGTCATTATTATCATTTACAGTATTGTCGTAATTATCGGAATAAGGCATCACTGATATTGAAAAAAACCCAAAAACGAAAACAAAAAAATTCCCTCAAATGCACGGTTTTTACCAGGGAGAAAGAGCAAAGGTAACCTGAGTCTAGACACCCAATCCCTACTAAAGTGAAATGGCTGCAGGCTTGAAACCGTACTCCACCAAAGGGTATTAGAGTTCAAAATAACAAGAACTTCTGGTGGCTAACCATCAGAGGAATGACTCTCTAATGGCTGAATTGTGGGTATAGAGCAGGAGAAAGAACAAAAGACTTCCATCATTTACTTACTGGCTGTATGATCGAAGGCAAACACATAAACTCTTATTCATTTTTTTAAAATTTAAAATATATTGGGCAACAGTTATGTACTAAGTACTGAGAGTTTGAGAGATTATCATTTATTAGGGGAAATACACATTCAACTCACATTAATAGGGCGTGGTAAAGATATGGGTGATATGGGATCATAAAGGTGGGAGAGAGAAGACTAAATCAGCCTATGGGAATTAGAGAAGACTTCACAGAAGAGGGGAAATCTGGGCTGGTGGAGTTCCTTTGGTTGAGGTGGGGAGGAATTCCAGGCAAAGAGAAGAGTATTGCATTAGCTGAGAAGCATGATGTGGCATGGCTGTGTGTGTAGCAAGGGCAGGCGTGTGTGAACGACTCTGTGTGACTAGACTAGAGAATAGATAGAGTCCTCTCAGGAGGGATGTTGAGGAATGAGCCTAGAATTATACTGTCCAATACAGGAGCCACTTGCCACATGTAGCTATTGAGTACTCCAAATGTGGCTAGTCTGAACTGAGATGTGCTGTGAGCATTAAATGCACACCCGCATTTGAGGACTTAGTATGGGAAAAAATAATGCAAAATTTTTTTATTGATTCCATATTGAAATTATAATATTTTGGATATATTAGGTTAACTAAAATATATTATTAAATTAGTTTCATCTATTTCTTTTTACCTTTTTAATGGGGCTACTAGAAAAATATAAATTTTCCATACATAGCTTGCATTAAATTTCTATTGGACAGTGCAGGTGTACAAAGACAGATGGGACAGATTGTGACAGACCTTGAATACCATGCTCAGAGGATTGAATTTTATCCTATGGAGCAATGGAACACTTTTGAGGATTTCAAAGCATAAAAGTAACACAATCAGATCAGTGTTCTGGAATGACAATGTTGGTAATAGTATGGAGGCAGGCGGGAGGGCAAGAAGATAAGCCTGGTGCAGTAGTCTAAGGGAGAGGTGGTGAGGGCCTAAAGTACAGCAGTAGCTGTAGGGAATGAAGAAAAGAAGTTGGATTTAGAAACCTTCATAAAGTGAACTGGACAGGACTTGGAGACTACTTAAATATGGAGGATGAGGAAGAGGGAAGCTGACTTCAGAGGTTTCAGCTCATTTACCTGAAACAAGGGTGATGAGAGGAAGATCAGAAACTGCAGAAGATCAGGAGTTCCTTTTGGCCCTCAAGGGTTGAAATGCCTGGGGCACCTCCAGGTAGGGGTATCAAGTTTGAATATGGATTTAGAGATTAGAAGAAGAGAAGGGTTGTAGATTGAGATTTGGGATCCTCTGAGCCTTGGTTTTCTCATTTTTAAATTGGAGATAATAAAATCTGTTGACCCTACCTCACTGAGTTATTTTGAGCATTCAATGGATATTGAATGTGAAAACACTTGATAAATTGTAAAACATTATGCAAAGATGATGAAGTATTGTTACTGAGCTGTAGGCTCTTCTTCCTAAGAGCTCATCCTCACCCCAAGAACCTATTCCTGTCCCCTCCCATTGGACTACACTTTGGGCCAGCTTGTCCTATAGACCAGATAATGAAAAAACAAGGAATCAGAGCCTGACAGCCAAGGACAGCCAAAGACAGCGAGAACATTTCCTCAAGGAGAACTGGCCTGGTTCCATCACTGGGAGCCATCTTGAATTTTCTTGTCACCTACATGTAATTGGAAATTTTAGATTCTGGTTATAAGTAAAGGTTTCTGAGCTAATATTTTTCCTCTTCCTGTGTTTACCTGTAAAGGTCTAAGGCTTCACTGTCTCTTTTCTTTTTTTAAATTTTAGAAATATATGAAAAATATATGACTATGCCCTGGGCAAGGTAGCAGAAGGTCCTGGAATACAGAGCAGGAGAATTGCTAATGTTTTTCTGCCAGCTCTGGTGAGATGGCAGTTGCTGACAGTCGTGTTTTGTGATCACAGAGTGTCTGCCCACTCATATTTCCAAAGCTAGCTTATGATTTATAAATTTGTTTTTTTCTCACCCTTCAATTCTTCCTCAGTCATAAGTCTAAATCTGTGCAAATAAGGGTTCAACTCTCTTAATTTCCAACAATCCAGGATACCTATCATTATCTCTGAAACTATGTTAAAAATCTATCCCCAAATCTCAAAGCAGAAGATCATTTTAAATCTGCTTTACTATTTAAACAGCAAGCATCTGGTCCTTTTTCTGAAGGAGAAGACAAGGACAGGGAAGAGAGGAGTGTCTCCAAATCAAATAATAATAAACCATCACAATTCCAAAGAAGCTTGGGGTCCCAGGTAGCCAGAATCTGCCTGCAGGATGTAGAAATTTCACACCCTCTTTGACCTTCCTACACAGTAAATAAGTGTGATTGCTCTGAGTCCTAATTCACAGATTGTGTTGAGGATTAGTTTTCAATCAAGGGTCGTGACTTGCTCTACCTGAATATATTTTTTTTGGACAAAAAGTGAGCTTCAGTCCTGTCTCAGCAACTGGTGAGACCATCACGGTATATACATCCCCGCAGGGTATCTCGGTGACATCGCAGAAACTGAGGCCAGTGCTTGAAACACATGTGAAAATGCCTTTGGAACCATAGAGGTCGGTGCTGTAATTGGCAGAGCCCCTGGAGGCTTGCCAGTAGATCCGAATGCCATTAGGGCCCAGTCTATATAATTTCACCCCCAAAGGGCAGCAGGCACCTGAAGGATGAAAACAAACACACACCCATCACTTATTCCTCCATCACACAAACATGGCCTTTATTACCATGGAGAAACAATATAAGTAACCTAGTCTACATAATATATGATAAGAGCAATATTTGAGGTGGTACTCAAGTTCTTTCTGTGCTGGGCCACGTGATTAGAAATCCATGTATGTGGGGGGCATGAATTTTTAATAGAGAACAACGGTGAGTCAAAAAGTCCACACTTGGCAGATACGTATTGTATATGACTCAAAGTTTATGAGTCAAAGGCACGGAATCCTTGTCAAGATCCTTCATAATGCCCTAGTTTCATATGATTTTAGTGGGATTGAATTTAAATATAATTAACTGCATTCAGCTTTAATAAAAAAGACCTATTTTGCTGAACTGAGTAGCATGACGCCCGGGCAGTAGTCACATGCCAGGCAGGTGACCAAGCTTCGCTGGTCCACACTTCATCCGTGCTAGCTCACTAGGTACGTTTTTTTTCTTTTCTAAATACTTGGAGCAGGCCCCACATTAGGTGTCAAGCAGGGCACCAAATGGTGGATTCCTCAGCAACTAAAATAAAGATATTAATGTATAATAATAGTGAAAAAATTAAGTTATAGATAATCAGGCTCATTTGCTTTATTTTTTTATAAAAAAGGTTTTTTAGGTGTGAAGAGAAGCAATGGGCCATATTCTCAGAACTGGATATCAGGGTGAAACTCAGGCAGCAGATCTAATGAAAGATAATGGGCCAAAAGGAAGTATAAACCAGCTTACATATGTGTAGCATGTTATAAATGCTTTCACATTGTGATTATTCCTATTTCTCTTACCAATGAGGAAATAGAATCAAGGAAGATAAGGCATCACACCTTATAAGAAGCCATGTCTTTAGACTCCTACTTGAAAACTCTTTCTACTACCTCTAGGATGGCAAAACTGTATTTCCACTCTCGCAACCCATGGCCCAGGGCAGACACGACTAATGATCCTGTACTCTTTCCTATTGAGCCTGGGAGGCATCCTCAGGAGTTTTTTTCAAAACAGTGCTCCAAGCAGCCACTTCAGTGGACTAGAATCATATGAGAGAAATCTTATTTCTAACCCTGTACCACTTCTTCCTTCCTCTGCTATTCCCTAATGGTTTGGTCGTTGTGAAGAACAAGATACAATACTGTCAGGAGAGAGTGCTCTCTTAGCCTGTTGAAATAAGAAACCAGAGAAGCAGCTGGAGTGGTTTAGAAGAAAGAGGTAGTAGCATAATAACAATGAGAAGAAATTTAAGCCAAATAGAATGTGTGATCCAAATGCTTTCTGAAAACTACTAGACTGAGTTATTCTGGGCTGCAGGTGGCTGTGTCATATAAAAATCTGTCCTCCCGTCAGAAAAAGTATACCTGAACGTTGTTACCAGGAGAATTAATTCACCAACTACCAACAGAAGCCTCTGAAGCTTTGAGGTTATAAGTTCAAAGGAAAATTAAATATTTTAGAACGTAATCTATATTTATAACGCAAGCTAGGTGGAGATGCAGCATCTTTGTAAAGGAGAAGAAAGGGCTTATGTCTGGATTTATAATAGTCAAAGTCCTTATTGATACTCTAGAGCTAGAGTTTAGAATTCACTTACTAGAGGAATAACTTGGGTAGGCGCAGTCCGCAGTCAGCCCAGTGGCACTAATTGCTTTTAATGCCACTGTGTAATTGACGCCACATGCGACGCATCCCAGGAGGCAGTGATTTTGATGGGTGTGACACTTAGACTGTCCAGTGCGTGACTCCAGAACTATCACGTAGGTTTGGGCCCCGGTCCCAAGAGTCCAGCTTACGTTGATTACTGATTGGGTGACCTGAGTTACTGTCAGACCGGCTGGACAGCACGGCACTTACGTGGGGGAAAAGAAAGAATGGGGAATTTATTTCCACTGAGGGTTATTTGTGAAAAACAACCAAAAATGGTATCTTGCTTGTGTTTCATTCAATATCCTAAATTTCTCAAACTTTCAATTGTTAATCAAGGTTTCCTTTTCTTAAGCAAAATCTCATTCCCCCTGATACATCATTTAACATCAGCTGTATAGAGTGGGTGTTCTCCCCAAGAACGCAGTGCACTAACAGGCTGTGGGTATGTAAGTTCCCCCCCCCCATTTTTTTTAATAAGAAAGAAATCCTTTGTTGTCCCCCAACTTTAAAAATTCCAGTTGCACATTTCAAAGCAATAATTGCATTCACCTCTTCTCCCAATATCACATTTCACAACATTTGCAATTAAACGTATTTTGCCTTTCTCATCCATTTCATAGTGCGTAATTGATGTAAAATCCTGAAATATTCTTTGCCACCTAAGAATACCACAGCCAATTCTCAAATTTTCAGGGACCCATTATATAGGACATGGGATATCTAGAATTTTCCTGTGTATCTGGTGTTGTCCCCATTCTGCTTCTTTTTATGTTTCCACTTTTACAGACCAAGATGCTATCTATCATTGTATATAAGAGAAAATAATGTTCAAAGACTTTAAGTAATTTGCTAAATTTCATTCCCACACAATGCTATGAAGCAAAAACAGCTTTCCTTTATCAAACTCTTACCAGGCATCAGCACTGTGCTAAGTGCTTTGCAGCATTTAACTTAATATTGACAACCACCCGATGAAGCCATTATCCCCCCTTTGCCAATTAGGAAACTCAAACTCACAAAGCACTTTTTAGAGAAAGATTTGAAAGGACTGAGCCAAAGAAATAAATAATAAACCAGTTCATTTGGTCACTTGTTAGTTGTTTTGGTAGATGGTGTCATGGGGGAATTTGAATTCAAATAAATGTTTTTGCAGAGTCAATGTATGCCTCCTTTGATGTCAGTGTATGAATATATTAGAGTCTTTTGATGATATTTTTACAGAACCTGTGTCCAAATGTTGAAAGTTTTATTTTCTAAGACTGGGGCTCTTTGAAAGGCTCTGAGTTTAATGTGTTTCTATCACACTTAGGGTAGAACAAATAAGAAAATTCTTGTCTTATAACAATTCCTAAGGACCCCACTGAAGTCAACGTTCAGGCAGGCAGTTGCTACATACCTGTTTCCAGGGGCACACTGTAACTGGGTAGGCTCCGTCCTGCCCGTGTTTCAGCCACAGCAGTGACAGAGAACACTGAGCCGCAGGGCAAGCCCCCGATGGTACAGGACTCTCCCATGCTGCTGCACTGATACAGCCCTTTCTCTCCCTGGGCAGTCACCGTGTAAGTAGCGTCATCATTTGTGGATCGCCAGTGAACAATAATCATGGAGAACTCATTCTGCGTAACATTTTTTATTTCAGGACTGCAAGGAGCTAAGAGATTTTAGACTATTAATTGAAACAGTGAGAGTCAAAAATATCACGTGTGCCATTTGGTCTGAAACTGACTTTTTTTCCCTAAATGAGATCATCATTACTTTCAACCATACCATGCATGGAGGCCAAATTCATAGAGCCTTTGTGTGGAAACCTGCTGACACCGACATATGGTATTGGGTTCCTATAGCCTTGGACTAACTGGAAAACGTTACGGAGCATTCGAATTCCAAAAGTAAAGGTAATTAAGACAAATGTTTTGGTCTTAACCTTCGTGGTGTGAAAACAGGCAGGTCCCCCAAGGGTAGGAGGAACTGAATGGCCGAGTGACCACTCTCCCTATGGTCTCCTTTTTTCCTTTTTTCTACTTTCCCTCTTCCACCTTCTCTTCTGCCTCTCCTTAGTAAGGTGGTCCCCACAAAGAGTGGTTAATGGGATTTGGCCTTTTTATAGTTCTTGCTGAATGCCCGTCCTGAGGGACATAGCTGGGGTGAATTGTTCAGACATCAGTGGATGAAATCATAGCTGTATCGTACCTGTGGTTATAAATTGGGAAGTACATGACATATTGCTGCCCCGGGCTTCGCTGAAGGAATACACCGTGATATTGTACTTGGTGTCACACTCTAGAGCTGAAAGAGTGCAAGTAGGAGCAGTGTCATTGCACTCAACCACGTTGAACCCATCTACAGCCTTGGTTTCATAAAGTTCGGCACCACGGACAGGAGACCAGACAATCTCTACTCTGTCACTGGACACCAATACAGGGTTAATGTCACTAGGACAACAGGGAGCTGAAAGCAGGAGCAGAGAGAGAATGGAGGTCAGTATAGAAGCAATGATGTCAGAGGGGGCATTGAGTCCTGACCTCTAGAGCCCAGAGCCTCTGCCACTCCTCTCCTAAATCACTGCAAGAACCTCCTACAGTTCTGCCCAGCTCTGATCTTGGCCTAACACCCAGTACATAGAGGATAAATCCTCTATGCATGACATTCAAGGTCATTACAAGTTGTACCCAGTCTACCTGCTCAGTTATACCTCCCTCCACCCCCTGCCACACCAGACTCATCAATTCTGCACCCTACATGTGCTCTCATTTTCCTATGCCTCAAAGACTGCTCACCTCTCTACTGGAATGCCATTCCCCCTTTCTCCCTGACGAAATCATACTTAGTCTAACTGCTAGATCCTATCAGTCTTTCCAGACACTAAACCAGATAAAACTAAAACCAGTTAAAACTGGGGAGTACGGGAGGGGGAAAGATCTACATCTACAATGATGTATCAGTAGATTTTACAGGAGACCCTACATTACTCACAGACAAATTCTAAAAAATGCCTGACTCCATTTGGAGTTTCTCTGGGATGCTCTTGCCCTGTCTACATTCCATTCATCTTTAAAATTCCAGCTCAAGGCCACTCCTTCTGGAAGGCACTCCTGTGCTCTTGAGACTTTATTGATAGCCTCTTACTCCAATTTCCAAAGGCACCAATTATTTGATTCCCTCATCCCACTAAAATTTATTGTAATCCAGCTAGTATTATTATTTACATAATTATAGTTTTGTGGGGGTTTTTTTGGTGAATAAGATTGGCCCTGAGCTAACATCTGTTGCCAATCCTCCTCTTCTTGGTGAGAAAGATTGTCCCTGAGCTAACACCTGTGCCCATCTTCCTCTATTTTGTATGTGGGAAGCTGCCACAGCATGGCTTGACAAGCGGTGCCTTGGTCCATGCCCAGGATCCGAACCTGCAAACCCCAGGCCACTGAAGCGGAGCGCATGAACTTAACCACTACACCACTGGGCTGGCCCCCCTGAGTATTCTTATTTGCAAATGTACTTAATTAATTTCAAGTCACTCACTCCATTCATTCTTCAAAAATTGAGCATCTCCGCTATGCCTATCACACTATGACAAGCATTGAGGATGAAGAGATAAACAAAATATAATCCCTGTCCTGTAGAAGGTCTAAGCCTAGTGGACGAGAATAATAGTAACAGTAAGAATGATGCTAATAAAAGTATTTGCATTGTGCTTTACCACATTCAAAGACCTTTTCATATTCATGTTCTCATTATTATTTGTCCCATTTTGCCATGGAAGACACTATGGAACTAGCAAGGTAGATGTCATCATCCCCAAATGAGTCAGTGGTCAAGTTAGGACCTAAACACAGGTGTCCCACTCCAAAGCCTCTACACCATGGAGCATCTATGCACTGCATCTCTGTTTCTCTGGTCTCAGAGAGCGTGTGAACTCCTGAGACAGGAGGACTGCATCCTCTTCAGCACCCAGCACAGGGCTGAACTCTGAGTAGATCTGGGTGGAGGGTTCAATTTTTCAGAGCACAGTTGAACAACTAGGTTCTTTCCCCTCTTTTCACTCCTAAATCTTACATTCTTGATAAACTTGAGTCCAAGACACCAAAATCTCCTAGTCTGGAGAAAATATGAGAGAAAAGATTCACTTTCTGTTCTTGACCCCAGAATGACTCCCAGGTGGTCTCTGTAAGCCAATAAGTGCAATAGTTAATCCATTCTGCTGCTGAGTTTAGTGAACTCAGAACTCCCTTTACTGGGGCTGGCCTTGTGGCTTGGTGTACAGTGTGCACGCTCTGCTACTGGCGGCCCAGGTTCGGATCCTGGGCGCGCACTGACGCACCGCTTGTCCGGCCATGCTGAGGCGGCGTCCCACATACAGCAACTAGAAGGATCTGCAACTAAGACATACAACTATCTACTGGGGCTTTGGGGAGAAAAAGGGGGAAAAAAAAAAAAAGAACTCCCTTTACAGGTGTCAAGTGTGCCTTACCTGTGGTATAATTGAACACGTCACCCAAAGGACTCTGCCCTGCCTTGTTATAGGCAAAAACACTAATAAAGTAAGTGAAGCCACACTCAGATAAGAAATTGCACTGTGTAAGGGATGTGTTGCAGTGTACTTCCAAACCATCATCACTCTTCACAAAGGCCACATAGTAATCACCCAGATCTACATCAGACCAAGCCACAGACAGGTGGCCAGGGGGATCTTCTTGGATCATCACTCTTGCAGGTGCACAAGCAACTAGGAAATGATAAATAATAAACAGTTGTGAGAGTACTGCAAGAGATTTTCTTTGCATCTTTGCAATTGTCCAGGATTTCAAGACAACCCAAATAAGCAAATCTGAGCTTTGTAGCAGATTGAATTTGGTGCATGACACACAAAACTATGTACCAGAAGCATTAGAAGATTTTCTTTATAGACCCAAAGACTTGATATAGGGCCCAGACCCCTACAACAAACTCTGATGACTACCCAAATTCTCTTGTTACATGAAATATTGTTTGAAATAACGGGCTGTCAGAGTTTGACAGTCATTTTAAGATATGGGGATTTTCATTATTAGAGTATTTGTTGAAAGATTTGACCTCAACCAGAAATGAAGCCAGTCTGGTCTGAGTGGAATAGTGAATATCGCAGACATTATCCATTTTAGAGAAAAAAATAGCCATCATTTGCTGTGCTTTCTATTAACATTTTCTCTAATTCTTCCAACAATTATCATCATTTTACAATTAAGGAAACCGAGGCTCATAGATGTTAGGTGAGTTTCCCAAGCTGACACAGCTAACCGGGATGGAGCTGGGTCTTTCTGAAGCCTTGTGTACCAAATCTCCATAGTATGGAAAGTTCTAACATGCACTAAGTGACAGAACACATTCTTATGCCCGTGACTTCCTCCAGGGAGAGTCTTTTTTTTTTTTTTTTTCTTTTCTTTTTGTGAGGAAGATCGGCCCTGAGCTAACATCCGATGCCAATCCTCCTCTTTTTGCTGAGGAAGACTGGCCCTGGGCTAACATCCATGCCCATCTTCCTCTACTTTATATGGGACGCCGCCACAGCATGGCCTGACAAGCGGTGTGTTGGTGCGCGCTGGGGATCCGAACCCCGGCCGCCAGCGATGGAGCGTGCGCACTTAACCGCTCTGCCACCGGGCCGGCCCCAGGGAGAGTCTTAAACAGAGACTTAAGATACCAGATGCTGTGGACAAGGAACAAATAAGTAGCATGTGCAAACCAACGAGACATTCTCAGATGTCCTAAAATTTATCTCACACCATGCATGCTAGACTATGCTAGACTATGCTAGACTATGTCAGACACAGGCACTGATTGCCTTGGTTAACATTGCCTGTTTTTCTGTGGTAAGGCGATGCCAGGATCAGCGTAGAATAAAGTCTTCCAAAGGACTGAATTCAAATAAAGTTTAGTTTTTCAAGCTCTAAGCTTTTAAACATTTAGTCGTCTCTAATGGAAATATTCCTAAAATATATTACACAATTCTGGGCTTCAGGAAGCACATAGTACTTTCTAAACATGGTTCTTTTATTGATAAACCAAGGTCGTTTCCATGATCATGACTGATTGTGTTATCCACAAACTACAGCGGTGCCTCCTGGACTGATAAGCATGCAGGACTATTTCAGTGGCACTTTATCCTGACTGCACATTAGAATCAACTAAGGAGCTTTTACAAACTATTCATATCCAGACTCCATTCCCAGCAACTCTAATTTAATTGGTTTTTAGGTGGGGCCTGAGTATTGGGATTTTATAAAAGCTCCCCAGATGCTCTTAATGTGCATCCAAAATTGAAAAACACTGATGGTTCTTTTCTGGAATAAATGACTAGCTTGGAACTGCTCTGCTTTTGAAAATGTATTTCTTATCTCTTCCCTCATCTCAGCTATCCTGTCCTCATAACCATTTCTAATGTACCGTCCACATTAAGTTATAATTGTCAAAAGAGAAGCCAAATCACCAAGTTTGTTACCAGTGACTTTAATTTAACATAACTATAAGAAACTGGATCTGCATGGTTGGCTCTACTTTTTTCCTGTGAAAAAGAGTGCATCAGCTTGGTGATGGCTCTTTTCCACTCTGCTCAGAAGCCTTATAAACTTAGAATGACATAATTCTGACTGTGGGATAAACTGGACATTATTGTAATTATCTACATTTTCTTTGGCTTAGAAGAGTGAAATCAGGCAAACCTAGGCTTGAATACCAGCTCTATCACTTATTATTTGTGTGCCCTTGGAAAAATTATTTCACGTCTCTGAGCTAAAATTTAATTACCTGAAAAAGGAGATAATAGTTCCGACCTCAATGAGTTGTCATGAGAATTAAATAAAATAATGTATTTATAGTGCCTAGTACATAGTAGGTCTTCACTGAATGTTAGTTCCCATCACCAAAACACATAGATATTTCTGAATAGAGGAATAAACCTCCACATATGTAAGTCCTTATCTTTCTGATAAGAATGAAAATGGGAAGATATCTAAACAACATATCCAGAACTATAGACAGCACATCTTTATCTTAAAACATAGCTCCCAGCAAGCCTGGGTCTGTGAAACATGATGTAAAGAAGAGGCTGCTATCTGTACTGCACAGTTAGAACTGTGTATAATTCAAACTTGGTCTTAGAATTTTTACAACTTTATAAATGAAAAAGAAATAAACTAATTAATGAAAGATCTGGAATAGGAGCCAGGCCTCCTAATTTTCAAAGTGCTTTTTCCAGTGCACAATATATGGTTTCCCCAGCAACAGTATTCAAAGTCATCAGAATGTCCAACTCAATGCTTTCATTTAGACCAGGCTTTCATTTTCACTTCTTCCAGAGCATTCTGGAACATTGTTGGGTGATTATTTGTTTCCCTTATGGCAGCCACTTCGGCTCGCCAGCCCCACAGTGATCTCACTCTTGTATACATACCAGTTTTCAGGGTCACTGCTGAAGCTGTTTTGCTAGATCCGGCATCGTTACTTGCTAAAACAGAAATCAGGTACTCAGTTCCACACTGGAGAGAGGAGATGGTACAGGAACTGAAAGTCGTACTACAGCTCAGCTCTGAAGAATCGCTCAAAGCCATCACAGTATAGTTGAAAGCTCCTTCTGTCGGTGCCCATGAAACAGATGCCTTCAGAGCCCCACTATCAAAAGAGACTTGAATGTTGGCAGGAGCACGAGGACCTACATTTTCGAGAAACAATTAAGATTTTGCAGCAGCCTCAAGAACATGAGTAAGATTTGGCCTAACAACATTGCAGAGCTTGGAGGATGGGGTACCCCAATAGCAGGATAATTGCAAGTGTTCAGAGCATAAAATTGGGATTTAGGGTACCTGGAAACTGGTGATACATCTGCCATGAACTATGCAAACTCATAACTAGCAAGGTGACCTTGGCCATGCTATTTAATCTCCTTGTTATTTAATTTTTTATCATCTGTAAAATAGATCTAATAAGATCAGTCCCTAGCACATATAGGTACTAAATAAGCATATTTTGAATGAATGAATGAGTGAGTGAATGCACAACTTGACAAGTGATTGAAATAATTAAATGAAATTATAAATGTGAAGGGCTAAGAGGGCTGTGTGGGAATATTATTATGAAGTGGTAGGTCAAATATTCTTTCTATTATTGATTGATGAAGCTAAACAGATCAGCTTCAACAATATGCCTTCTTTACTTTTGACCCCTGCTAATACTTTTTCTGTAAGAGCTTTTAGGTTATAATTGTTTCTAGAAGAGCAGACTTTCATTCCATTCTAAATCAAAGGGAAGGAAGGAAAGTATCAAGTGTGATGGTCACACATTAAGGTAGTCTTATTAGTGTCTCCAAAATGCTTCCCTCTACATTCTCAAAAATCTGCCATCCTTTCTTCAGGGTTATCCTCTGAACAGGCTTCAGGAGTATTCTCCTGGGCTGGGGAAGAGAGAAGTTGGCCTCAATTCTCTGGAATCTTGCTATAATAAGACCCATCTGGCAGGCCTTAGAGACCTTCTTGGACAGCCCGTGAGCAGAGACTAGTCTGCTCTGGACACACACGGGGGTAAGCAGGGAGGGCCCTGCTTGAGTAAGCAGGGACTCAACTTGCCCTCTGCAAGGCAGGCACTTGCCGTGTTTCTCCTGTAGGCCATCACAGCGGGACCCTTCCCCTGCTTCACGGTCAGCTTGTCTACAGGGGCAGCTCTGCTCTGGGGTAATGCTGGGCCCAAGGCTGGTAAGGGTAGGCTGCAGTGTTTTAGGACAACCTGCTTTTCACACATGAGACACGAGAGAACCAGGAAAAATGAGTAGAGTAGTAGGAGACTGTTATGGGTTGAATTAGTCCCCTCAAAATTCCTATGTTGAAGTCCTAACCCCAGTACCTCAGAATGTGATCTTATTCGGAAATACGGTCTTAGCAGATATAATTAGTTAAGATGAGATCATTAGGGTGGGCCCTAATACAATATAGCTGATGTTTTAATAAAAAGAGGAAATTTGGACACAGGCATATGCATACCGGGAGAATGCCATATGAATATGAAGACCGCTCTCTATAAGCCAAGGAGAGATGCCTGGAACAGATCCTTTCTCACAGCCCTCAGAAGGAACCAGCCCCGCCAACACCTTGATCTCAGACTTCTAGCCTCCAAAATTTTCCATGAGACAATAAATTTCTGTTGTTTAAGCCACCCAGTTTGTGGTACTTTGTTATGGCAGCCCTAACAAAGTAATATGGAGGCTAAATCTAAACTCCCTAAAACTTTTTAGAACTTGGGAAACAATTGAAGAGGAAGGCTTTAAGAAAAGTCACCTCTAGGACGTGGCTCTCCCTGTTCACCAGCCTGATGCAGATGTTCCTTCTGTGACACTCTGTGCCTGTGCATCCTTCTATCAAAGCACTTGTTACACGGAACCGTAACCATTGATTTATGCATTGGTCTCTCCTAGGACACAATCAATTCTTTGGGTGTGAGGTCATGCTTTATTTGACTTTGTAGCCCCATCAGCTAAACTATGCCCAGCACATAGTGGGCTCTCAATAAATATTTGTGGAAAGAAGGAATGAATGAATGCCTAGGAAAAGGCCCAGGGAGACTGGCTTGTCTCAGACATCCTGACTCACCAGGCCCACCATGAATCACCTTAGGGCACTTTGCTATGATTTCACCCTGCAGAAGTATTATAAAAGGCAAACTCTTCTCTTTTCCCTGAATTTCTGCCTTGACCTATAGACAATGGGACTTCCACTCTCCTCCAAACTTAGGGAATGGTGGAGAGAACATTTCTGGTTTCTTTCCACTCTTTCCTTGGTCCTCCCCAAGGGATGAAATAGCTAATCTGGTTGGTGAGAGTCTGGCATCTATTAGGCCATATTGTCAGTGAATGGCTTACTCTGCCTCAAGAGAAGGAAAACCTCTCTCTCCTTCCCTCTTTTTTTTTTTTTTTGTGAGGAAGATCAGCCCTGAGCTAACATCCATGCTAATCCTCCGCTTTTTGCTGAGGAAGACCAGCTCTGAGCTAACATCTATTGCCAATCCTCCTCCTTTTTTTTTCCCCAAAGCCCCAGTAGATAGCTGTATGTCATAGTTGCACATCCCTCTAGTTGCTGTATGTGGGATGCACCCTCAGCATGGCCGGAGAAGCAGTGCGTCGGTGCAAGCCCGGGATCGGCACACGGGCCGCCAGTAGCAGAGCGCGCGCAATTAACCGCTAAGCCACGGGGCCGGCCCCTCTCTCTCATTCTTTTGGCTCACTCCAGCAGCTCAGTGTGGGCTTCCAGTTATCATGCAGTAGGATCCCCTGGTGGGGTATCCCTTTGATGGGGTTGGTGAGAGAACACATACCATGCTCCAGCTTCTCAGCCTACAATTGCAGGAGAGATGATAGAAAGTCCCATGCTGGCCCCAGGCCTAAGTGGAGGCCTTCAGGGAATACACCTGAAATATTGCTTCCCACCACAGCATAAAGTACCATAATAACAGGAACTTGGTTTGCTGCTGTATCTCTAGAACAATGCCCACTCGAAGTTGGCACACACTCATTAAATGCCTACTGAATAAATGAATTCTTGTTTGTCCCAATTCTTTACTATTGGTCTGAACCCAGGAAGGGACAAGGGGTGACTGGTAAACCTAACAAGAGTCATCTCCTGCTGCGTGATCTTGAATGTGTATGCTGAGATTAAGTCGGGTATCAGAGGGGGAGTGCCATGCTCTGTGTATTCTGAGCAGCATCTCTTTATATATGCAGTAAGCATTTAAACCACTGAGGAGGAATTGTCAAGGCACTATAAATAAACTCATAATAAATTTAAATAGCTGCTGCCAGCTGCTCTGTACTTATCACTTAACACTGCTCTTGATGGCTACAGTGCACAGCCCCTCTCATTAATCAAAAGGGAGATTGTTTGGGGCTACCAGGAAGTCCTTACTTGTTCTCTGATTGCAGGTGGAGTCATCCCCGGGGGTTCCATTGGCATTCCACGCAAAGGCCTTTATGGTGTAGAGAGTCCCGGAGTCTAAGCTGGTGAATGTCAAGGAGGTGTTTGTGGTGTTCTCTTTCCATATTCTGCCCAAACCATTGGCTCGCATAACGGACACAGAGAATCCAATTGCCATGTATACAGCTTCCCACTGCACAAGAATAGAGTTGGGACTTGGAGAGCTTACTTCTAGAATTGGTGCAGCCAACACTACAAAGACAAAAACATGCGTTTGTGTTACGAAAGTCCAATAGAGGATAATTCGAATTTAGAAATAAGTAATTTGAGGTTGATTATCCATACTATGAAATAATTATTTGCTTTGTAAAAGGATTCACAGCAGAGTCCCATTAAATAATGGCTGTCTAAATGTGCATTAATTATGAATGACAGAGGAATGGGGAACAGAGAAACTCTAATATTAGGCATTATTTTCAAGTGGAGGTTGGTAAGAAATTAGATAAAACATCCCTGTAACCATAACATAAGCCAATGGGGGAAATGATGGTTTATACTATTTTAAAGTGCACACAACCTTTCAGAAATATGCCTAAGTACAACTTTATCAGTTCACTTTAAGTAATGCTGATGACAAATTCCAAATGTTTTTACTTAAGTCTAAGTGCAGCAAAGTCCCTTTGTGTTCATCATTCAGCATAGTCTTTATGGATACCTGAGGTTAAAAACAGAAATCCCTTTTCCAGAGATTTAAAAGCAAGGATGTTTTTAAAGATGCCCAGGGCCGGCCCTGTGGCTTAGCGGTTAAGTGCGCGCGCTCCGCTGCTGGCGGCCTGGGTTCGGATCCCGGGCGCGCACCGACGCACCGCTTCTCCGGCCATGCTGAGGCTGAGTCCCACATACAGCAACTAGAAGGATGTGCAGCTATGACATACAACTGTCTACTGGGGCTTTGGGGGGAAAAAATAAATAAATAAAATCTTAAAAAAAAAAAATGCCCAGAAATGGGTTTTATTTTCCAAAGAATCTGGAATTTAAATGCCCATCTCCTCCACAGATGTCTGAATTCCCGAAAAACATCATTTGGTGGCTCCCACTTCTGGGCCCTGAATATAGGCACTCACGTGACACAAAATTACATGATGCATTTACAGCCTCAGTATAACTGACCCAGGTCACAAGCAGTCACTCAACAGGGGATGAGCATCCACTACCTGTCTTTGCCTGCTTTGGAGGTGATGCCTGGCTTCTCCCAGCGGCACTGATGGATCTGATGGTGATTTGGTACAAGGTCGCAGCCTTCAGACCTGTCACAGTGCCTGGGGAATTGTCCACAGTGGTTTCAATGACAGTGTCCCCATCTTCGGCCGTGAGAAGGTAACTGGTGGCCCCTGGCACGGTAGCCCACTCCACAGTGATACTGTCGCTGATTTTTGAATATGCCTGATCAATGGTGGGTATTTCAAGAGCTGAAAGAGATTTTGAAGCTGTACATTAGCTAGGATACCAATAAGGATTACTCTTTTCATTTTACTTTTCAAACTGAAACATTCTTGTGCCATCCTTCAGACATAAACTTTGCCCTTATTTTCCAGATCAAGAAAAAACAGAGAAAACGAAAGGCAAAGCTACTCTCTAGAAGAGAGCCAGAAAACTCAAACCTCTCATTCAGGATGAGATTTCAAAGGCTTTTCCCAGTTGCCTCTGGGATAATTCGCACTTTTTGTACTTTTAAAAGAGTTCAACAAGAATGGAGAGTGATTATGGGAAAATACTGTGAGAGGAGGGAGAGAGTAAGTGAAAGCATTCTGTGAATTCCCGGGTCTGCTTTGCCCTGATCTCCCCTCCATGCCCCACGAATAGCTCCACTGCCTCCAGCTAGGATCCTCTGCCGTGGCTGTGGTCTTCATCTCACCCACTTTGCACATTTCCCAAGTGTCGTTTCATCTAATGGAGGGAGAGGGAGAATTGAGTTCTTTGTTTTATAATTGCTCCATCGTACTTTCTTTCATGTTATCGGAGCGAAACCATTTTCAGATTCTTCCATATAAAATAAAAATAAACTTTATTTCCTCCTTCTCTATCAAAACACCTGCTCCAGCATAAGAATGCGATGCTCTGGCCCCTCCTCACCTGGGCCTGGCCGTGGTTTGCCAGGGGGATACGGATGCTTGTGTCATGAGTTACACAAGACATTCCCACACTTTGGGTATGGGGTAGGAGATACAGCACGGTAATCAGATTTACTACTTTGCAAAAATCCACAGACACAAAAATGCCCTGGGTGTCGGAGATCCAATTGGAAGAAAAAGTCAAACAAAAATAGCTGCGTTTTAGGTTTGAAAACGACACTTGCCCTTTTATTTTTAATGTACTGCATTTGCTGGGTAAAATCACTATATGCCGTATTGAAAACTAAAGGGTAAAACAAAACTATAGGGCAAAGAGGAGAGAGTGTAAATACAGACCAAATGGGTGGTTTGCCAGCATCAGCTCCTCCCCCCAGCAGAACCCTACCTGCCAAATCCCCATATGCGTGATACAGACAACCTTCTCTTTCTGTACCAATAGCCCAGAGAGGGCTTTGGCAGCATCTCAGAAATAGCCATGCTGCAGGAATGAACAAAGTCTCCACTGTGCGCTGGCCAGACATTCCTTGAACATAACCCAGGACTGTCTCCTTCGCCATTGAAAGAAAACTATGATGGTTGTATATGCTGGGGAAAAGTTGCAGGCATGCTCATCTTAGCCATTTGCCAGCAGAAACTGACTCTGCAGGAAGCTCCCACGTCCCCTCTCCCCTCTGCAGGATAGGAAGCCCCAGTAGGGGCTCCCATGTCGTGTCTCCCACACACTCATCCCTTTTCTGCTCCCCCAGTTATTAGTCCCGGGTGACAAATAAGCCTTCTCTCCTCTAACTTTGTGGTGTCTCTCAATTTCTTCTGTTTCCTTTGTCCCCATAGTTTATCTTATCTCCTATGTTAGCCAGTCCTGCTTATTGGAATGAAATAACTTTCTGGAAAAATGACAACCAAACTAGCCATTTACATAGGAGGCCTGATAGTGCATTCATGGAGTGGTTTGAAAGACATCTAAAAGGCTAGCATGACATAGACTATCTCCCCATAGGCCTGTGAAGAGGCCTGAGTACTCCACAAAACTTGCTCCACTGAATTGAGCTGGGAGAGGCCCATTTACCCAGAAGGAGTAACACATGGAGCCAGGACTAGCAGGATGAAACACAGGGTTGCATGGTGGAAAAAGAGCAAAGGATTTGGATTCAGAAACTGTGGGTTTGAGCCCTGGATCTGCCGTTTACTTTTGCATGTGAACGTGTACAAGCACTTAACCTCTTCTAGTCTGGGTTTTCTCCCTTAAGAATGCAGAATGTTAATAATACCTACATGTTAGGATTTACTTTGAAACGTAAAATACCTACATTTTACGATTGTCGTAAAGAGGAAGTGAAACAGTGTAGGTAACGGCACTTCAAAAGGTAGGAGGGGTTAGTGTGTGTGAGTGTGTGTGTGTGTGAACCAGGACAACCAATTTTTGGGTTTGGAAAAGCCAGACTGCATGGCACTGTCATGGAGAGGTGCCAGGGAAGGTGAGATTCTGGGGAGTCTGGGGTAAGCACAGGCTAAAGAGACAGATTGCCTGTTTTACATTTGGTTCTAGGGCAGGATCTGACCAGTAACAGCAATGAAAGAAGATCAACACCTCTATACTACGTCTCCTTTAAGAGATGAGAAGCTTGAGTGGGATGTGCACGGCTCCGTAAATTAGCAACAGTTCTTCACTCTTTCTTAGTTCTATGTTTGGCCCACTTACTGCATGGATGAAAGAGAAAACTTTATTCCCCAGCAGTGCGATCAACCACTTTGATCAGACAAAAGTGAAACCTTATGATTCTCAGCATCTGTGCATTCTACCAACTCAGAGATCTAAATTAGCCCATGTAGCCCCAGTGGCCAGACACAGATCGACAGCCAACACAGAACCCAAAGAGAATCAAAATACACACACTCAAAATGAAACCTCCTACGCAGTACAGTAGTCCCCCTCATCCGTGGGTGATACATCCAAGACCCCCAGTGGATGCCTGAAACCGCAGATAGTACTAAACCCTATACATACTATGTTTTTTCCTACACATACATACCTATAATAAAGTTTAATTTATAAATTAGGCACAGTAAGAGATTAACAACAGTAACTATTAATAGAACAATTAAAATAATATACAGTTGGCCCTCTGTATCCTTGGTTCTGAATCTGCAGATTCAACCAACTGCAAATGGAAAGGCCTACAATTGTTGATCTGTACTGAACGTGTACAGACTTTTTTTCCTGTTATCATTTCCTAAACAATACAGTATAACAGTGATTTACATACCATTCACATTGTATTAGGTATTATAAGTAATCTAGAGATGATTTAAAGTATATGGGAGGATGTGCAGTAAGTTATATGCAAACACTACACCATTTTTTATAAGGGACTTGAGCATCCACGGATTTTGGTATCAGCAGGGGTCCTGGAACCAATCTGCCCCTAGATACCGAGAGATGACTGTACTGTAACAGAAATTACCATAGATCTTAGCAACCTCAGCATCTGACTTTTTTCTTTCTTCATTAAGTCAAGAACTTGCACCTTTTCACTTAAAGGAAGCACTTTATTGCTTCTCTTTGGCATATCCAAAATTCCAGCATCACTACTCTTATGCTTTGGGGCCGTTATTAAGTAAAATAGGGTTATTTGAACACAAGCACTGCCATGCAGAGACAGTCAATCTGATAACCGAGATGGTTACTAAGTGAGTAAGTGGCACCTAGTCTATACAGCATGGATACACTGGAGAAAGGGATGATTTATGTCCTGGGCAGGATGGAGTGGGATGGCACAAGATATCATCATGCTACTCAGAACAGTGCTCAGTTTAAAACTTAATGAATTGTTTATTTCTGAATTTACCATTTAATACTTTCAGATCACGGTTTACTGCAGGTAACAAACCGCGGAAATCAAAACTGTGGATAAAGGGGGAACTACTGTGTCAATAAAACACATTCTATCTATTGAAAAGCCAGGATGAATCAAGGAACAGCATCATCAGTGTCTCAGCCTGCCTCACTTTCTCTCGAACAGCGTGGAACCAAAAAGAAGCCCCCTCTGAGGACTCAGCATGCCCTGGGTGTCCTGGTACCATCTAAGAGACAGCAGAGCTAGATTTTGTCCACCCAAAGACCACTTATGAAACCGGGAACGAAGGAGTTAAAAAGTCTTCCGTGGGCTAGAAGAGAAAAAAACTTTGAGATAAGCTTTGCTAACTGCAGCTGTGAATACTCAGCATAATTCACTGTTGTTCAAAACTGACCAGGTCTTTCTGTCCCTCCTTAGTGTATGAGTGAGCTGTCTTTCCCACGAGGTCAAGGTCCAGATGTCAAGATTCAGCATCACGAGGCCAAACGCAGGCTGAAGACAAAAACTAACCAGAAAAGTCCGGATAGTCAAGGGAAAAGAAATTCAGTCTTCAAGGCCAAACAGGCTGGTGGGAAGGCGCCAGTCAGCAAGTCTACACGCTCCCCCTCCCTTACCTAAAACCCCAGCACATGCTCCCCCTCCCTTACCTAGAACCCCAGACAAAAACCCCTACCTTTTTCCCTTTGAGGAGGTGGATCTGAGTTCTAACTCCAATCTCTGGCTGCCTTTCCATAATAAACCTCTTTCCTTGCCAGAAGCCTGGCATTCCAGTTATTTGCCCTCCTGTGTGATGGGTAAACGAAACTGTGTTGGTGTTCTGTACCACTTATAAAAAAAAAATCACTTTGTATATGGCCAAACAATCCTTCTCATAGCTTCCTGATCAACCCTGAAGGTTTCTCGGGCCGGCCCCGTGGTTTAGTGGTTAAGTGCACGCGCTCCGCTACTGGCGGCCCGGGGTTCGGATCCCGGGCACGCACTGATGCACCGCTTCTCCGGCCATGCTGAGGCCGCGTCCCACATACAGTAACTAGAAGGATGTGCAACTATGACATACAACTATCTACTGGGGCTTTGGGGTAAAAAAAGGAGGAGGATTGGCAATAGATGTTAGCTCAGAGCCGGTCTTCCTCAGCAAAAAGCGGAGGATTAGCATGGATGTTAGCTCAGGGCTGATCTTCCTCACAAAAAATAAAAAAAAAAATAATAAAAAGAAAAAGAAAAAAAATGAAGGTTTCTCAAGAATAAGATAAGTAAATAAGAATAAAGCAGGAAATAATTTCTAAAAAACTATTGTATATGCATGGATTTTATGGCTCAGCCATATATCTGTATCAATTTTTTAATTGCCTATTTATAGTTCCTTTTCTGTGGTATAGACAAAATAATAAGTAAAAATTGTTCTTATTTATGTTAAAGTGCTATGAGAGTTTATTGGTGATATAATCAATATTATATGGTTCCTCCAGATAATCTAAATCCCATAATCTAAATGGAACATAAATTTCCATTCTGGGGACTTAGATTTCTAGAATATATGAGCTAGGAGAGGCCTCTAGAGAAATTATCCTTGCGTTCAGTCATTTATTCAAGAAAAATGGCAATAAAGGCTTTTTTTAGAAAAGCCTGTGGGGCCAACCCGGTGGCATAGTGGTAAAGTTTGTGCTCTCTGCTTTGGCGGCTCGGGGTTCGCAGGTTTGGATCCCGGGCGCAGACCTACACACCACTCATCAAGCCGTGCTGTGGCAGAATCCCACATACAAAATAGAGGAAGATTGGCAGCAGATGTCAGCTCAGGGACAATCTTCCTCACCAAAAAAAAAAAAAAAAAAAAAAAAAAAGCCTTTGTCCAGCTCTGAATTATCATTGTCTATATTTTAAGGATGTAATATTGGAAGTGTAAAATCCTTTTTTATTGAGGAATCTCAAAATTTTAACCAAAAACATTTCTAGTTTTCTCCTCTAATTCTTCAGAAGACAAAAAATAAATATAAATTAGATTCTTCACTATTTATGACTAAAATTCTGGATTTTTTTTTGACTGGAATGATGATCATAGGAATATTTTACTAATGGCTAACGTATTTGAGAAAATCCATGACTACATGACTCTGTACATCTCAGTACTCAATAAGAATATCTTACAAGGACTTATCTTTTAACTTTGATCCATGTATTTGTCTTACCAGTTACACTCACAGTGTGAGTGCTCAGAAAATGTTGAATATTTTTCCTGGTATAGCCTTTATATTTCAGGGTAGCCCAAGAATTAACAGCAGAAATTAAAATCAAATACGGGGAGGGAAAACTTGCGTTTCAGAAAATTTTACCTGTTTTTGCTGAAGCAACCTGAAAAGGAAAGTTTAGAAAATTAGAACCATAAAGAAAAACACCATTTGGGGAAATGCAAAACAGAAATCAGAGCAGTAATAAATTTATCACAATATTTTTATACATAATGTGAGAAATCTTCCAATCCATACAGAGTATTTATTTGCACAAATCATTTCCCAACACTCAAATCTACCACAAAACAATCCTAAATAGAAGTTAGAGGCTGGAGGCAGATCGCATTACTATTTCATTTTTCTCCCTGAATCTGCCTATTGAACTAAGTCGGTAGCTGCTGACAGATTTTTCAGAAATCTTTGTTCTTAAAATATGATGATGATCTTGTTTTTTTTCTCCAGTAAATCACATTAAATTTCAAACACACAAACATATACTATCTTGGTATGATCCAAAATATTTTGATTTCTATCTCCCCACCCCCTAGTCCCTCAAAAAAAGAGAAAGATAATGAATATGTCTTTTTTTTTTTTCCCCTCAATAGTTGCAGCTAGGTCAGAATGGTCAACTCACCATTTTAAAACAGATAAGACTGAATCCAATCAAAGACAAACATTTCTTGGGTCCACCAGCCATCCTGTTGGACCAACCACTCACATGGCACATGACAGAGTGATCAGGGTCCTCTTTGATCCCCAGGAGGGCAGGGCAGCACTGTTGGTCGCTGGGATGTGGGGCGTGATGCTGCGAACAGACCCTGGGCAGTAGCTCCTCCCCTTTCGTGTGGAGCTGACCTGTAACTAGGGGCACTCGGAGACTGGCAGGGACAGGTATTGCAAAGACTCAAAAAAGAAGAGAGTTGAAGAAAGCCACGCCAAGCAGGCCCCAAAGCTACTGCAACCTGGGTTTCAAGGTAGTATGTAGAATGCTCTCCTTTTCTTTTAAAAAATTTCTTTTCTAGATAAAAATTGTACAAATCTGTATAGAAAATTGTTGATATAGTGGAATGATCATTTTAAACTTGGGGTTCCTGACCTGTTCTATTTATTCTTTTTCATTTTTATTTGTTGTTGTTCTTATTGTTGTTTCAGTACAAAGCAATCAGTCCCGCTGTCGGGAGCAATTTGCTGCAAAGCTTCAATATCTAAGATGAAAGGGCAGAGGGCTTGGGGGTGCGGGAATGGGGGAGATGTTGTTTAAGGGTACAAACTTACAGCTAGTAAATAAATAGGTTCTGGAGATCTAATGTACAACATAGTGATTATAATCAACAGTATTATATTATAAACCTCAAAGTTACTAGGAGACTAAATCTTTTTTTTTTTTTTTGGCTGAGGAATATTTGCCCTGAGCTAACATCAGCTGCCAATCTTCCTCTTTTTGTATGTGAGCCACCACCACAGCATGGCCACTGACTGACGAGTGGTGTGGTTCCACGCCCAGAACCCAGCCCAGGCCGCCGAAATGGAGTGCGCCAAACTTAACCGCTAGGTCACCAGGGCTGGCCCACTAAGAGACTGCATCTTAATCGTTCTCAACACAAAAAGAAATGATAATTGTGTGATGTGATAGAGGTGTTAGCTAATGCTACTGTAGTAATCATATTGCAATATATACATGTATCAAACCAACACACTGTACACCTCAAACTTATACAATGTTATATGTCAATTATATCTCAAAAAAAGAGATGAAAGGGCAGGAGCATGTCTCTTGCTGAGAATGATAGTGAGAAGTCCTTGATGAGCACATTAAATTCATCCATCCCCAGTACAACCCTGCAGTTCCAGTACCTTTTATTTCCAGAGCTATCTTTCTAGTGCAGGCTCTTAATACTAATTAACATGTAATCTAAGCACTATAATATTTAATTCTAACAATAAACAAGTAATCAACATTATTAACTGACTTGTATGCAATCACACAAGTTTTAAATGGTGGAGTTGGGATAAATTCATCAGTTTAGGGGCCAGCCCGGTGGCAAAGTGGTTAAGTGCACACGCTCCGCTGCCGCGGCCCAGGGTTCACAGGTTGGGATTCCGGGTGCGCACTGACACACGGCTTGTCAAGCCATGCTGTGGCAGCATCCCATATAAAATAGAGGAAGATGGGCATGGATGTTAGCCCAGGGCCAATCTTCCTCAGCGAAAAAGAGGAAGATTGGCATTGGATGTTAGCTCAGGGCTGATCTTCCTCACAAAACAAAACAAAACAAAAATAAATAAATAAATAAATAAAAATCAGTCTAACTCCGACACTCTAAGATCCTTCCACTAAACCACTCTGCCTTCTATGAATTGACTACTATGAATTCAAGGCATTTTTGTTTGTGCATTCAACAAGTATATACTGAGTACCTACTGTATACCAGGAACTATTCTGGACACTGAGGATATAAACATAGCCAAACCAGAGCCCTGCACTCAAGGAGCATACACTCTAGTAGAGGAAGGCCAAAATAAGTAGCTAAAGTAATAAAAATCTGATGATATGTCAGGTGTTGTTAAACGTTATGAAGAAAAATAAAGCAGAGCAATGGGAGAGAATATTGAGGGATAGAGTTTAGTTTCTAGACCATGGTCAGGGACGACTTCTCTAGCAATGAGGTGCTTGAACATAGACCTAAGGGAAGTGACAGTGAGTCCTTTGGAAACCTAGAAAGGAGCATGCCAGGCAGAGGGAAAAGGAAGGGTGAAGGCCCTGAGGAGCAAGACGGCTTGGCTAGAGCAACATGAGTGCTCATCTCCCCAGCTGTGGGGAGTGTTGGCAGCCGACAGCTCTAGCTGAGTTTCTCTCAGACTTGCCCTTGCCTGAGCTGCCTTGCTCAGAGTCACACCCTCTTCCCTGGCGCAGCCAATGACCAGGAGATGAAGGAATATAAGTGCCCTTTGCCTGAATTCAGGACAGCTCTGGAGGGGAGATCTGAATGGCGCACTATAGCATCCACCAGGACCTGGTGAGGGTGAGGCTAGAGAGGCACATAGGGAGCAAAATTTAAGGAGGCACTCAATCTCAGGTTCACACAAGCCCAGAGTCCCAGAGGCTTATGGCTATGAATTTAAAGAGTCATCATGAGGGGCCAGCCCCATGGCCAAGTGGTTAAATTTCCTAGCGTTCTGCTTCAGAGGCCTAGGTTTGTGGGTTTGGATCCCGGGTGTTGACCTACACCACTCATCAGCCATCCTGTGATGGCATATTAGCTCATGGTGAATCTTCCTCAGCAAAAAGAAAAAAAAAAGAAGAAGAAGAAAAAGAAGAGTCAGCATGATTGTATGTTTTCTCCAGTCATGTTCAGTCACTTGTGTGCAGGGATAGAATAGGCTGGGAGTTGTATTTAAGTAGGACGAGTGTATTACTAGACAAGTATGTTGGAGAGAGACTGCAGCAAGGGAATTGAGTGATCAATCCATCACAAGGAAGTGATTTATAATATTAGGCTGCGGAAACTATGCTGGGTGGGCCAAGAAGTGAGGCTTGCAACACCTCACTACCATGGAGGCTGCGGGGACTGTGATGGAGAGTGAAAAGCTGGCAAGGACAACAGATTGGAGGACCCAGTGGAGTTAAAGAGTTGTTGGAAAGGATAGTAGAGGGAAGTAAGCAGAAAATATAGGAGTTGGTGATTAGAGAATGGGATGTTTGAAATGGAAACTGTGAAGTTTCAGCTATTGGTAATGGCCAGTTCTAGGGTGGAACCAGGGGAATTGGTAGCTGAGGTCAAGTTGAGGAAAAAAATCATTGAAGGTCAGGAGATCAAGAAATTGAGAGGCCTGAGTATTAGAAAGATTGTTCAAGGGATATTGGAATCACTAAGAATTATGGCAGGAGGAGTGAGGAAAGAGGTATTGAGTCATTTGTGAAACTCTAAGTATTGAGATACTAGAAGAGTATTTTTCGAGGTCGACATGAACAACTGACGGATAGTGAATGGTATAATATGTGACATGAACTTTAGAGGACCTTGGAGGTTCAGAGAAGAGGGAGAAACAATGGTCTAGAAGCGCAATGACTTTATGGTAGCAACTGATTTCTGGCTAATGTCAACTACTTGGTTGTCAAAATAGATTATGAGTGTTGTTGCTGAACAGTTCCATTGGGAAACAATGCAATAAAGCAGTTGTTTTGTAATATAAATTTACTTTAAAACTTTGAATTGCTAAATTTACCAGGTGTCTGAAATTCTCCTTTCAGGAATGGGGTTCTGCAAAGCAGTAAATGATTGAGTTTAGGTCCTGAGGGCTATGGAGCTAAGACAACTAAGAGGGGAAGCAGCTACAAGAGTGAGTCTGAACCATACATCTGATAAGGGGTTAATATCCAAAATATATAAAGAACTCATACATCTCAACAACCAAAAATGCTAACAATCCATTTAAAAAATGGGCAAAAGAACAGACATTTTCCAAAGAAGACATACAGATGGCCAACAGGCACACAAAAAGATGTTCAATATCGCTAATTATTAGGGAAATGCAAATCAAAACTCCAATGAGATATCACCTCACGCCCATCAGAATGGCTATAATTAACAAGACAAGAAAGAATAAGTGTTGGAGAAGATGTGGAGAGAAGGGAACTCTCACACACTGCTGGTGGGAGTGCAAACTGGTGCAGCCACTATGGAAAACAGTATGGAGATTCCTCATAAAATTAAGAATAGAACTACCCTATGATCCAGCTATTCCACTGCTGGGTATTAATCCAAAGAACATGAACACGCAAATGCGTAAAGAAATATGAGCCCCCATTTTCACTGTGGCATTATTCACAATAGCCAAGACTTGGAAGAAACCTAGGTGCCCATCAAGGGATGAATGGATAAAGATGTGGTATATATACACAATGGAATACCACTCATTCATAAAAAAGGATGAAATCTTGCCCTTTGTGACATGGCAAGGACCCTGTCATGGAGGGACATTGAGGGTATTATGCTAAGTGAGATAAGTCAGAGGGAGAAGGTCAAATACCAACGATCTCACTCATAAATAGAAGATAAAAACAACAAACAATCACATAGAGACAGAGATTGGATTGGGGGTTACCAGAGGGGAAGGGGGGAGGGAGGAAGGTGAAAGGGGTGATTAGGCACATGTGTGATGATGGATGGTAATTAGTCTTCGGGTGGTGAACATGATGCAATCTACACAGAAATCGAAATATAATGATGTACACCTGAAATTTATATAATGTTATAAACCAATGCTACTGCGATAATAAAATAAAATATTATATACATATATAGAAATTCAAAAAATAAGAGTGAGTCTGTTTAAACATTCTTAGTGTACTAATAGGGTGATACTAGGAAAATGAAGATTAGTCAATAATCTAAAGGCCAGGAGAGGGGCTGAAAATAAAAGATAAGGACAGGTGTCTGGAATGAGAGAGAGAGGAAATGTTAGGCTGCTGCCGCACATGAGTCATCAGCTGTCTAGTCCACAGTACGCGTGTCCACGCTTCTCCACACCCAGCCTCCTTCACTAAGCGAATGCTAAATATTTTAGGTTTTGTTACTTGGTGTACAATTCCAGATACCAAATCTGTAGTGTTGGTTTTTGCTAAGAGAGACAGAAAACCTATAAAGAAGTTGGCTTAAATAGAAGTTTCTTTCTGATATAAAATAGTGGCGGCAG